TCCTGATATCTTTTTTTAGGGCCGGGGATGCCGGAAAAAACGCCCCGCCCCCGCCCACGAATTTGGCCCTCCCCGGGCCTCTGGGCAACCCTTCAGACGACCCGGGAGAACCTCACGAGAGCCCGGAGCCGGCCCCAGACGGGTTCCACGCGTTCCCGCGCGCTCCCGAAACGACCCCAGAGAGACCCAATGCGGTCCACGACGACAACCAAGAAGCCGTCATACCCCCAAAGATCGCTCCAAAACGTCCCAAGAGGGCTCCAAGAGCACTCCCAAGAAGGCCCCAAGAGGCAAAAATCATTGATTTTCTCTGGGTTGTTTGTGAATTTTGAGGTTTTCCTCTTTTCGGCTTCCCGACGCTCCAAGGCGGCGGTCTTCTGCGCGTCCGAAGCCGTCAGGGAGGCTCCAAAATCGCCCAACAACTATCCGAAAAGGCTTCCAGGCAATCCAAGAGAGCCCCAAGACGGCATAACAGGGCTCCAAGAGAGCCCCATGGCGGCCCAAGATGGCCCCAAGACACCCTCCGAAGCATTCCAAATCGTGACCGGGTCGTTCGGGGAGACCGCGGTTGGAGGCAGGGTGGCCCGAGGAAGCCCCCAGAGGCCCCCAGAACACGCCCAGGAGGCCTCCAGAAGACCTTGAGAAAGCCTGAAAAACTTTTGTGAGGCCCCCAGAAGCTTTCCAAGGAGGAGTCTCCGCAAAAAGTGCTGAGGAGGATGGGGAGAATGCGCAGGGTAGGGCGAAAGTTAAGAAAAAGAAGCATGGAGGAATGATAACGAATAACATTGTTATAACGGCGATGCTGGAAAAGGCAACAAGGAGTTATCGCTAAATTATCGGCTTGACCTTCTTGCCATTCCGCCTGCATACCAATCTTCAAGGATCAAGGTGCATGGCGCGAAGCGCCACTGCAGTCTTGCATGTATTTAGGTATGTGTACATGTATGTATGTATGTATGTATGCATGCATGCATGCATGCATGCATGCATGCATGCATGTATGTATGTATGTATGTATGTATGTATGTATGCATGTATATATATATACATGGCTATACTTTGATATGTGTACATTGTGTATATATATACACGTATATACACGTTCAGTGTTTCGCGAATAGCGTTTTACTTCAGAGGTTTCCAGAGGAGGTATAAAACAACACACAGAAGACCCACGGGGGGGGGGGACGGGGAGCCCGAGGACGCTGTCCCCGGACAAACGTTTTGCCCGAGACTCACGTTTCCTTCATGAACCGTGCTCTCGCCTCAATGCCGGCTGCATGCTTGGTCCGGACTTCGGGCGACGAAATCTATGCATATCCACTGCTCCCTGACCATGCCCATCTTGAACCCAGGAGCTGTGTATGCGCCCTCCTGGCCAAGCCAGGAGGGCGTGGCGTATACACCGCTGCGGGGTTGAGGATGGGCCTGGCCAGGGAGCAGTGAATATGTATAGATTTCGTCGCCTTTGCACATGGTATCTTCCTTCTTTTTTTTGCTGTCAGGGTGCTTTGCAGGGGCATGTTTTCTTCCAGAGACGCTGGGCAGGCTCGTCAGGGGCTACGAGGCTCGCCTCGACCCGCAGGGCGTCGTCCAGAGCGACTACGACTGCAGACAGCTGCCTGGCGCGACGGTGAATTGGGACGAAGTTCGGGTGCTGCTGGAGAAGCGGCCTGGCCCAAAATGTCCCCAGCTGTCCTTGGCTTCGGATCCGTTGTACTTAGGGCAGTTTCGCGAGTAGGGTGGAAGTTCTCGGCCTGCTTTTCCGGCTCCTTTTGGCAGCGATCTCCACCTTTGCCGCTTCCGGCTTACTCTTTCGCATCGTTTGAGATGCATGTCCAGCACGATTTGCAGTCGGAAGCTCAACCAAAGTGCGGTGGATTTGGAGTCATGGGTCCCAGGGAGGCACATGTCGCCTCCAGAGAACCCCTCGCGAGGCCGAGGGGCCCCAGAAGCGCCCCGGAGGGGCGCGAAAAGCTGGGAGCACCTTGGGCCAGAACCACCTCTAGCGACACCCGGGAATACGCGGAGCTGCTGCTGGCTGGGAAGACCGAGTATGGTGGCAGCAACACGACGACGAAGTTTGTGTGGGGGTCACAGTTCGACAACAAGCTCGGGGACGAGTGCCTGATGGGCTTCGGCGTGATGCTGATGGAGAAGCTCAGAATGGCGCAGATGATGAAGAGCGAGGAGTATGCCCGGTTCGCCTACGGTATCGGCGTGATCTTCGTCCACCTGGAGCACTCTAGGAGTTGTCAGATAGTGAATCACCGAAATTTCTGCTCCTCTACACCGGTGAATCGCGCCCAGTAGCGTCGAATAGAGCCCAAACAGCGCTCAACAGCGCCCGACAGCGCCCAAGAACGCCATCTGAGGGAGATGCATCATGTCCGCCTTGCGCGGCATTGCGCGCGCTGCTGGGCGCCAGGGGGACGACTGAAAACGATTCCGCGAGTTGCATTCGCAGGATCTGGAGCCCCTCGCCCGGGCCCCGCGACAGCCTCACCCTGCTGATGCTCTCCCGGTGGCCCGTCTTCAACCTCCTCTTCGCCCTGGCGTGCCAGGGCCAGGCCGTCCGGGACTTAGCTGCCTCGATGCGCCCGCTCTGATGCGCAACACGCGCCGTGTTCAAGACGTCCGTGTCAAGACGGTGCGTGTCGGCTCCACGTACTGGGCCACGTTTTGGCGAAGGTATCGCGTCGGACCTGCGTGTTCAGCCTACGTGTTGAGCTCCGCATCGATACGCTACGTGTTGCGTGTTGCGTACCGGGGCAACTTAGGTCCGGGACGACCAGAGGACCTACGGCTACCAGCCGGCGGCGCGCCGAGGGGGCATGGCCCCCTCAGAGGGCGGCGAGGCTCCTCGGAAGCCTCTTCCGGCCTTCTGCCAGGCCGCCTGGCGTCAGAGGAGGCTTAAGTCGGGCCTGTCCCCCTACAGGGGGATTTTCGACGAAAAGTAAAAGATATCCCAAAATAGTAAAAGAAAGAGTCCAGAAATAGTCTGGGGATTATTTTTTGAATATGTTTGTCACCTTTTTGTTTTTTCTTGTTTTTTCTAACTTTTTCGTCGAAGATCCCCCTGTAGGGGGACACGCCCGACATAAGAGTCCAGAAATAGTCTGGGGATTATTTTTTGAAATATGTTTGTCACTTTTTATACAAAACATATATATTTCTTTTTAAAGAAAAAAAAAAAAAAAAAAAAAAAAAAAAAAAAAAAAAAAAAAAAAAAAAACGTCGAAAATCCCCCTGTAGGGGGGCACGCCCGACATAAGAGGAGGCCCAGGAAGCGGTCCGGAAGGCCCGAGGCCTCCCGAGAGCTCGCGGGGCGGCCCGCCGCCCCCCCGGCCTGCCCAGAGCTCCGACGTCGTGAGCTCTGCACCGCGCGGCTCCCCGTGGCTCCTCCTCCTCCTCCTCCCCCTCCTCTCCTCCTCCTCCTCCTCCTCCTCCTCCTCCTTCCTCCTCCTCCTCCTCCTCCTCCCCTCCTCCTCCTCCTCCTCCTCCTCCTCCTCCTCCTCCTCCTCCTACCTCCTCCTCCTCCTCCTCCTCCTCCTCCTCTCCTCCTCCTCCTCCTCCTCCTCCTCCTCCTCCTCCTCCTCCTCCTCCTCCTCCTCCTCCTCCTCCTCCTCCCCCTCCTCCTCCCCCTCCTCCTCCTCCTCCTCCTCCTCCTCCTCCTCCTCCTCCTCCTCCCCCTCCTCCTCCTCCTCCTCCTCCTCCTCCTCCTCCTCCTCCTCCTCCTCCCCTCCTCCTCCTCCTCCTCCTCCTCCTCCTCCTCTCCTCCTCCTCCCTCCTCCCCTCCTCCTCCCTCCTCCTCCTCCTCCGCTCCTCCCCCCCTCCTCCTCCTCCTCCTCCTCCTCCCTCCTCCTCCTCCTCCGCCTCCTCCTCCTCCTCCTCCTCCTCCTCCTCCTCCTCCCCCTCTTTCCCTAAGGACCGGCGCTTCGGCCCGAGCCGTTTGCTGGCAGCCCTGGAGGAGGAGGAGGAGGAGGAGGAGGAGGAGGAGGAGGAGGAGGAGAATTAGGAGGAGGAGAAGGAGGAGGAAGAGCAGGACCAGAGTGACCCATGGTGTCTCAACGAAGCTGCACTTCACCTGGGGAGGGCCCCCGGGGCCCGAAGCTGCAACACAAGCCGTCCGCCTCGTGTGTGCTGCCGCGACGAGGGGAGGTGAGGGCTCGCCCCCTGGGGCGCGCCGCCGAACCAGCACAAGCCGTACTCCCTGGACTTCTGGCCTGCCGAGATCCTCAGCGCCCCGGAGCTCGTGGGCGGAAAGCACACCCCGTGTCCGCGGCCTTGAGGGCTGGGCCCCTGAGCCGTGGCCCCGCAGATCCGGGGCGCTCTTCGCGGATGACCCGCGCGGAACGTGCAGGGGGCCAGATGCGAACCTTACCCCTACCCCACCATGATTTCTGAGGGGGAGGGTGGGGTTCACTTTGCTCGGGAGCTCTCGAGCGAAGTAAACTTCACCCTCCCCCGCAGAAATCGTGGGGGGTAGGGGTAGGGTTCGCATGTGGCCCCCTAGCGTGTCCGCGGGATCGCGCCCGGGGTCCAGACCGCGAGGGCGTGCGCGTCCACGCCGGTGTGCCTGCGGCACTCCTCCTCCTGCCTCCTCCTGCCTCCTGCCTCCTCGCCTGGGGCTGCGAACTGCGCAAGCGTCGCCACTCTCGCTTGCTCCTGGGAGGTCCAGCGGGGTGGGTAGTCACTCGGATCGCTTTGAGACCTAGCGGCTCCCTGGGGGTGGATATGGACATGTTCGGCGCTCGTGCGCCGCCGCGTGCGGTACCCGCAGAAACCGCCGTCCCGCGTGCCGTACCCGCAGCAGCCGCGTTGAACGGTTACGGTTAGCCGCAGAAGCCGCGTGACATGATCTTAGCTGCCTCGATACGCCCGTTTCGAAACGCCACACGTGCCCGGTTCGAAATGTCCGTGTTGACACGCTGCGCGTTGGCTCAGCGCGTTGGCCCACGTTCTGGCGAGCGCATCGCGCCGAACGCACGCCTCCGGTCTGCGCGTGGAGCTCCGAGGCAACACGCTGCGTGCTGCGTGTTGCGCACCGGGGCGGCGGAGGACATGACGCCTCGGCCGCCGCGTGCCGCGCGCGAGCGGTGGCGCTCGCGGCCCCCTTTGCCTGGGCGTGCAGTCAGCACGGATCGTAAGCCACTGAGAGCGGTTTTCGAAGGCTGACCCCGGCATCCTCCTCCTCCTCCTCTTCCTCCTCCTCCTCCACCTCCTCCACCACCGCCGAGCGGTCCGCGCCTGCAAAAAACAAACGTTCGGCACCGGCGAGGAGCAGCGCCGTGGGCTCTCCGAGCTTCGCGCGCTGCCCATCGCGGACCACGTGCGGCTGCTGCGGACGAGGCGGCAGGGCCGCGCCAGCGGCACGTTCCGCGCACTGCTGGCCGCCCTGCTGGCCGCGCTGGGGGACGGGTCGGAGGGCCCCGCGCCCGAGGCTCTGGACGCCCGAAATTCACCACCCACCAGACCACCCCAACCCAACCCGAAGGCCCCAATTTACCCTCGATTTCCAGTGGGGGGGGGGGTCGGGAAACGTCGAAAAAACACATGTGGAACCCTTACCCCCCCCCCAACCCGAAATTCGGGTCTTCGGGTTGGGTTGGGGTGGTCTGGTAGGTAGTCAGAAATGGGTACTGAAAGAATGGGCACAATGCCCAACAACAATTCGCTGTTCATTTTGAACAGGATTCGCTGTCCGCGCCGCCGCGGCCTGTGTCCATTCGAGACAGATGGCCGCCTGCCCAACAGCGGCCGCTGCTGGTTTGGGACAAGATTTGTTGTTGGGCATCGTACCCATTCTTTCGGTACCCATTTCGGGTGTCCAAAGAGGCGCTCGGGTCGAAGGTCGTGCTGATCACCATGGTCTGCAGGGGAGGGAAGCCCTCAGAGTTCAAAAGTCGGGCCTGTCCCTCTACAGGGGGAGTATTCAAAAACAGTAACACATACATAGTCTGGGGGCTATTTCTTGCGTATTTTTGGGCATCTCTTGAGCAGTTTTGGAGTATTTTACATGTTTCGTGGAAAATTCCCCCTCTTGGGGGGACACGCCCGACTGACCTCCGAGCCGGGCGACGCAGCTTTTGTCACGGCGGGCGCTGTCGCCCGGTTTCGGGCCCCGGGGCCCTCACACAGGGCGGGATTGCTCACGATGCTGCACTTCTTCCCGCAGCGTCGGGTCTGCAGGGGAGGTGCAGGTGCCGCTGCGTGAGTCGCGGAAGCTTCCGCTCGTCTTGGATCGATTGTATATCGGCCGACTAGCGCCCAATGGGGCTCAATAGCGCCGAATAGCTCGCAATGGCGCCCAGTAGCGCCGAATTGCGTTAAAACGGCGCCCAATAGCGACCGACAGGGCCCAGTGGCGCCATGCGAAGGAGATGCGTTATGTCCGCTTTGCGCGGGTTGGGCGCGCTGTTGGGTGTCATGGAGGCACAGGCAGCTTCCGTGAGTTACTTTCTAACGCTACCATTCTCACGGTTTCCCTTCATGTTTGGGGCCTTCTGGGGTGACCTCGTCGCCTCGGTTGGATTCGCCTCGACATTTTGGTCAGGACACACTCCAGGAGAAGCCCGGTGAGCAGCGGTGTCAGCCCTGACGCCAGATCCTCCTTACTTTTTGACAAGTTCGCAAGTAGGGCGGAATTTTCTGTCCTACTCTTGAAGCGCCTTTGATGCCGATTTCCCCCCCACTTTGCCGTCGCTGCTTTCGTGATACATTTTCAGCAATATCGGCCCTAATTTTCCGAGGCGGGCATTTTCGCTTTACTTGTCTGCATCGTTATTCGGGTATTTTCTTTGTGGGCAGTGTCGTGGACAAGTTCCACCAACTTGTGGAATTGTCCCCCAAAGGTAGAGCGAACACTTTCTCCCTACTTTGCTGAGGGCGGGGGGGTCCGACCTTTTTTTGGAAGCCACGGGATGCATGTCCGACACGGTTTGAATTGTTGACGCTTCACATATCTCCACCACGTCCGTAGCCTTTGGCTCAAGCCTTGGCCCAAACCGTCTCCTGGGGGTGTTCCCCCCTCCGGGGTCAGGGCTCGAGCACGCCCCCGGCCAGGCGCGGGCCCGCCCGGCGCCGATGGTGTCTGCCGTTCCTGCTGCGCCGCCGCTGGCGCCGCCGCGGCGCCTCTGGGCCTGCCCGCCAGCGCGGCGGCTGCCGCGGCCGTCGCAGACGCTGCCTCCGCCGCTGCCGCCAGCTGCGCGGATGGCGCCGCGGCCGCCGTGGCTCAGGTTGCCGCGCT